TTTTATTTCTAGAAAATATTCACATCATTTAAAATCGCACTGTAATGTCACTCTTTATATTGTTCGTGGTCTCGGCGCTGGCTCGGCAGAACTGCGGATCGTACACACAAGTCTTGTACAGGACCATATAGGCATCTAAAGATTTATATGCCCTCAGTTTCTCTTTACGATCGGTTTCTCTATAAGGTAGGTGTAGAAGTCAGGCCACTCACCCGAGGTAACGTACGTTAATCCTGTCAGATCGTCCATCATTGAGTGAGCGTGTAGGCGGCTACGGGTCGGCCAATCTGGATCCGTCCGTTAACAAATAACTTTTGTAAATAAAGTGTCCTGGACACTGAGTGACCTTACACATTAAGATAATATCGGATTTTCTCCAGTCATTGTTAAAAAAACAAGCTAGCAATACTTGCTAACTAGCGTTAGTGAAGCGGCCAGAGGGATCGTTCTGCCTCCACCTAAGCTCCGCCCACATAAAAACGTCACCATGTTTACCAACTGTAAAAGGGTCTATAAGACGCAGTGACATCAACCGCCATACCAACATCCGGAGGCATCCGTGCCACTACTGTTCCCAGAGAAACGCCCCAGCAGAACCCGTCTGGGACCGGGGTTTCTCCACTGATGAAGAGTCGTCATCACACACTCCGCGGATATCCTGACTCAGAGCGCCGACGAGAACACGGACGCCTCGCTGGAGGTCTCATCACAGCCCAGCGACAGAACCATCATGCATCTGCGCCATCTAGTGGACGGAGAGGAAAACGGCCAGGATCTCTTAGTTCGTTGTTATTATATTGTTTTTGTCTCCCTGTGCCCGAGGCATTGAGCCAGGACGCCTGAGCTCGTACCCATCAGACCACAGTCTTCTGCTGGCCCAGATCTCTGCATTATTGCTGTCAGCAGTCCACGGATGATTTACATTGAGATGTCTGGATGTGATGTCACTGCTGGTTGTAGATTATCTGTCCTCATGATCATTTTTCCCTCTTCTTTTCCATATTCCAGGAAATCTCTGTCGAGGAGAAGAAGAGATTGCAGAAGAGGAAACACCTGGCAGAGAAACTCAAAGAGGAAGTCATCAAGAAATAAAGCCTTTTGTAAATGTTTCATTTATATTTTTGTATGTACCTGTATGACGTTAGATGATCTCGCATTACTCCTCATGAACCTGTGGACGGTTATTCGCTGTTTGCTCCAATCTCTGGCATGATCAGTTTATTAATGTCTGTTTCTGCAACATGATGTTTAAAGCTTTACTTGCTAAAATATTGGTATGCATTATGGGAACTCTCACTATTACGCATAAGCTCATTTACCAATCTGTGGACAGATGTTTTATGAAATGACCCAATAAAGTATCATTTTTAGAGAGAAACAGGTTCTTTTTATTCATTTATGTTTCCCAATGAAGTGTATAAAACGGTTAGTTCGAATCCTTGATTCTGATTGGTCGAGAGCTGTGTTTTATTCACGATAAAACACGCCTATGACCGCTTCACCCAACGGCTCTATCGATCGCTGCGCAACACTGCGGTTCTGTGTTGTTTTAGCGTTTTACACATCGGAGCGTTGTTGCTGTTCACGCTCAGGGACTATTTTTTCTAGCGGAAGGAAGGCTTTTAGTGATTTTACTTCAAGAAAGTTGCACTAATACATTGTTTTTTACTTTAATATTGTGTGGCAACCGTGTTATAAAAGCAATAATGTATTTGAGGCAAGTGCTGTATGGTGAATGAGTAACGGCTGAAGGGGTTACTCCGCTCGCGTCGGGCCTAACGACGCCCTTCAGCCGTTACTCATTCATGATACAGAACAGCCTCGAGTACCTTATTGCTTACATATATTCTGCTTTTGGAGTTTGTTTCTCTGGCAAGCATTATATATACCATAGAAACACCCTCACGTCAAGCCAAATGATCTTATATATATATATATATATATATTTTTGCATTACAAATTTCAATACAGAAGTCACCGCTCTCAGGCCGTCACTAATGATTCATTCAGAGCCATTTAGTTTCATTTGGTGAGATTTTCAGGCTTCTGTCATTATAGTTGTGTGTTTAGCAGAAAAGCTCTGGATATGAAAGCATCAGATTGGCTCAGTCAACTTCTCTTTCAGGTGAAAGTCTTGCAGGACTTCTGTCAGAGTGAATATCCTCAGATCTGTCATGGTTTAGTGATCACAGGCCACCAATTATCCAGATATATGGAGGAGAGCAGTGCTTAAACAACTGACATTAAAATGTTCCTTTATGTGCAGCTCAAATCTGTTCTCGCACTCATCTGATCTGGGGTCAGGCGCAGCGTCACAGGACAGATCCTCTTCTGCGGGTCAAATGCTGAACTGAGCTCCTGACCGCCTGTATAACAGTTTCATCAATATCAAGATATTACAGATAGATTAATTAAACCTGTAGCTCATATATTTTAAGTTGTTGCGGTTGTGATCAGGTCACATGATAACGTCCCCATGGCAGATGTCCAGTTCACATTCATATCACGATCAGGCTATAGTACTCGCTCCTTTAGCGCCTGTTAATTACTACTTACTTACTGAATTACACGTGATCTAGAAGTCTGGGTATAAAATGAGTATATATTTTTGCTCAGTTTATGTAAAATAAACTATTATATATGTGAACTGTATTTGTATTATAAATGTATTTTAAACAGTACTAATACATAATTATTTGTATAAAGCATTATATGGCTTTATCTGTTTGTAAAAAGAGCACTTTGTTATGTACAGTTTCCTTCTGTCTGCTGGCTTTAAACTCTCTTACACCTCATGTTATTGATTTCTCTATTGATCTTCAGTGGACTTGCCTTATTCATTTTCACTGGATTGTGTTTTCTAGCTAAATCTGCAGTGTAAAACGAAACACAACCCTGCATTCATAAATTATGCATGTAGAAGATGGGTTTTTTTGCATCTTGAAGAGGTTTAATTGCTTACTTTACAGACAAGTGCCGTCTCCAGCACTCAGGCTGTACCTCCTAAACGCTCCTAAACTAATTCTAGATTAAAGACGCATCTCTTTAGCCAATCATTCATATAATGCATCTCTTTATCTTACACAGTTATATCAGATCAAATATACATGATTATTCTTGCTTAATGTTATGAACAGCAGCTACGCTAATATTTTTTCATTTTATTTTCTGTTTTATCTTGGGATACCCATCAAAATGAGGCAACTAGAGAGTATGTCAGCTCCAACATCTGTGAAGAGACGACCCAACACCCGTGAAGACACGACCCAACACCCGTGAAGAGACGACCCAACGCCCGTGGAGAGACGACCCAACGCCCGTGGAGAGACGACCCAACGCCCGTGAAGAGACGACCCAACGCCCGTGAAGAGACGACCCAACGCCCGTGGAGAGACGACCCAACGCCCGTGGAGAGACGACCCAACGCCCGTGGAGAGACGACCCAACGCCCGTGGAGAGACGACCCAACGCCCGTGGAGAGACGACCCAACGCCCGTGGAGAGACGACCCAACGCCCGTGGAGAGACGACCCAACGCCCGTGGAGAGACGACCCAACGCCCGTGGAGAGACGACCCAACGCCCGTGGAGAGACGACCCAACGCCCGTGGAGAGACGACCCAACGCCCGTGGAGAGACGACCCAACGCCCGTGAGAGACGACCCAACGCCCGTGAAGAGACGACCCAACGCCCGTGAAGAGACGACCCAACGCCCGTGAAGAGACGACCCAACACCCGTGAAGAGACGACCCAACGCCCGTGAAGAGACGACCCAACGCCCGTGAAGAGACGACCCAACACCCGTGGAGAGACGACGCAACACCCGTGAAGAGACGACCCAACACCCGTGAAGAGACGACCCAACGCCCGTGAAGAGACGACCCAACACCCGTGAAGAGACGACCCAACGCCCGTGAAGAGACGACCCAACCCCCGTGAAGAGACGACCCAACGCCCGTGAAGAGACGACCCAACGCCCGTGAAGAGACGACCCAACACCCATGGAGAGACGACGCAACACCCGTGAAGAGACGATCCAACACCCGTGAAGAGACGACCCAACGCCCGTGGAGAGACGACCCAACGCCCGTGAAGAGACGACCCAACGCCCGTGGAGAGACGACGCAACACCCGTGAAGAGACGACCCAACACCCGTGAAGAGACGACCCAACGCCCGTGAAGAGACGACCCAACGCCCGTGAAGAGACGACCCAACACCCGTGAAGAGACGACCCAACGCCCGTGGAGAGACGACCCAACGCCCGTGGAGAGACGACCCAACGCCCGTGAAGAGACGACCCAACGCCCGTGAAGAGACGACCCAACACCCGTGAAGAGACGACCCAACGCCCGTGGAGAGACGACCCAACGCCCGTGGAGAGACGACCCAACACCTGTGGAGAGACGACCCAACGCCCGTGGAGAGACGACCCAACACCTGTGGAGACAGCCCTACCTTTATAAATACTTAAGTTGTTAAATTAGAAATTATCTGAACGTGCTCCTCCAGAACTTAGTTAAGAAAACATCATGTGTCTAATGGATGCTGCAGGTCTGTTCAGGTCTTTTGTGCATCATGTGTTTTAAATCATTCAAATTGATTGCTGTTGGAATTATTGACACAGAACACTGTTATGTATTGATTATGACATAATCATCACTCTTGATTCATCCAGTCAGCATTCATTGATCATATAAATCGCCTTTATTATATATAGTGGTAGGCAGATCGAGGAGCACTGAGGCAGCTGAAGCGAAACACTCGACGTAACGTAAATTTGTATTGTTGACTTTTATTTTGAAGCGCTGTACTGTGTTCTCGCGAGAGTTCATTCCTGTAGCTGTCATGGCGGCCCAGTGACCGCTGCATGCGTGTGTGTGATGAAGCTCGCTGTGTGTGGTGTGTGTCAGTAGATGAGAGTGATGATGATGAGTGTGATGAAGGCTCGGCTCGGCTGGGTCCGGCTCGCTGCTGTCAGAGGCTTTCATGAGCGGACTGTGGCTGTGGGTTTAGGGGACAGGTGAGAGACTCCTCAACATCCAGAACTTAGCTAACATTTCACCACTCCAGTATTTAAAACACAGCTCTACATCTTCATGTGTAAGAATATTTAGTGCTGTGAAAAATGTATATTATACATGTGTAAAATATTTATGTTCTATTATATTACATACATACGTAGTTTTTCTACTCATTTTAGGACTAAAGATGTATCTTATTATTTTATTTATTTAAATCAAACGATATAAATCAAATGTATTAATTAATTTAATATTTATTTAAATGAAAAATATATATTTGATTTATTTATTTAGTTACATAGTTCTTCATTTTTATTTATATATTTTTACATTGCCTTTCTTATTTTTTATGTATTTTAATCAAGCTTTGTTTACTAATTTTTTAGTTTTATAAAATTAATTATTTTTTTTAATCAAATTTTATTTATTTTAATATTTTTTTATTTATTTGTTTTGATCAAATATTTTGATTATGTGATTATTTGTTTTTAATTTACTCCAATTTTAAGGATTTATTTCAATCCTTTTTTAATGTATTTATTTTCTTTAAATGTGTTAAGTTATTATTTATTTGAATACAATGATTTCAAATAATGTTCTGTGTGCAGGAGGCTGGAGATCTCAACCGGGAAACTCGCTCGCTTCGCTGACGGCTGTGCAGTGGTCAAAGTGAGTGTGTGTGAGTGTGTGTGTGTGTGTGAGTGAGTGAGTGAGTGAGTGAGTGTGTGTGTGTGTGTGTGTGTGTGAGTGAGTGTGTGTGTGTGTGTGAGTGTGAGTCTGCTGGATCCAGTGTGTGTTCAGCGCTGATCGCGGTGTGTGATTGCAGTTGGGCGAGACGTCAGTGATGGTGACTGCAGTCAGCAAGAGCAAACCGGCCAGCGCTTCCTTCATGCCTCTCGTGGTGAGATACACCTCAGCTTTAGCATGTTTACCACACACACACACACACACACACACACTCACACTCACACTCACATGTGACGTGATTATGTGAGTCTTGTTACACACACAGAACAGAGTTCAGTGCTGAATGTAAATGCTGTTGTCACTCCTGAAACTCTGCAGTGTGTGTGTGTGTGTGTGTGTGTGTGTGTGTGTGTCCTCTGTGAATGACGCGAGTGTGTTCTGTGATCGTCAGGTGGATTACAGGCAGAAAGCAGCGGCTGCAGGACGAATACCCACAAACCACCTGAGGAGAGAACTGGGCAGCACCGACTCCGAGATCCTGACCAGCCGGCTCATCGGTCAGACACACACACACACACTCTCTCACACACACACACACACACACACTCTCTCTCACACACATACATGTGTGTCTAATGCATTGCCTATGTGTGTGTGTGCAGATCGCTCCATCAGGCCGCTGTTTCCCGCCGGATACTTCTACGACACACAGGTGTGTGTGTGTGTGTGTGTGTGTGCCTCTCGTCACGCAGGAGCTGTAATCAGACACAGAAACACTGATGGCCATCATGTTCTGAGCTTGTATCTGCACTCATCGTGTGTGTGTGTGTGTGTGTGTGTGTGTGTGTGTGTGTGTGTGTGTGTGTGTGTGTGTGTGTGTGTGTTGAAGGTGCTGTGTAACATACTCGCCGCTGATGGAGTCAACGACCCGGATGTTCTGGCCATTAACGGAGGTATGAACATCTCTGACTCGTCCTCGTGTGTGTGTGTGTGTGTGTGTGTGTGTGTGTGTGTGTGTGTGTGTGTGTGTGTGTGTGTGTGTGTGTGTGTGTGTGTGTATGTGTGTGTGTGTGTCTGACGGTGTTGTTTCTCTCTCAGCGTCTGCAGCTCTGGCTCTGTCTGATATCCCCTGGAGCGGCCCCATCGGTGAGTGCAGCGCTCGTGCAGGTGTGTGTGTGTGTGTGTGTGTGTGTGACGCTGTGTGTGCTGCAGGTGCGGTGCGCGTGGGGCTGGTGGACGGAGAGTTCCTGGTGAACCCCTCGCGCTCGGAGATGAACAGGAGCTCGCTGAACCTCGTGATCGCGGGAGCGCCGGCCAGCCAAGTGGGTCTGTGAGATTCTCAGAGCTCAGCGTTACCCATGATGCTCTGCTGCCGTTCTGACGCGTGTGTGTGTGTGTGTAGTGATGATCGAGGCCGCGGCGGAGAACGTCCTCCAGCAGGACTTCAGTCACGCGGTGAAGCTGGGGGTCAAACACACACAGCTGATTGTCCAGGCCATCCAGCAGATGAGCCGTGAGCTGAAGGTGTCCAAGCGCTCTCCCGCCAGACTCTTCACCGCCTCCGCCGAGATGGTGGACTACACACGCCTGTGAGACATCAGCTGGACTTCAGGATCTGTGCTGTTTCTTAGAGATGGGCATTGACACACATTTCACAACTCCATTCAAATCTGTTTCATTTGCTGCCATAAACACTTGCTTTCAATATTAAAGAAGGCGTGCACCAGAATGAACATTTTGGCCGATAACCGATAATCTTTTATATTTGAATGCCGATACCTGATAAATTGGCTGATGCATCTGAATCCAAATTTCTATGTAATTTATGAGATCCTGATTACACTCACCAGTAAATCTGCACATGTCAGAGTGGGCTTTTACTGTGGCCAGCCTAAGGACGGATGATCTCGGCACAGGAGAAGTGCTCACTCACTAACACAGATTTAGACTAACAATATTTGAGAGAAATAGACCTTTTGTGTACATAGAAAAAGTCTTATGCTGCATCCCACTTCGCTTACTTATCCTACGCCCTAAAAGTATGTACTCTTTTTGTGAGGAAAAAGTACTTTTGAGTGTGTAGCAAAAGAGTAGGCAAGCTTTGGGACATACTATCACGTCATCTTTAACGGACAGCTCTGTCGCGTGCTGCGTGCATCCTCTCACCGTAAACTGCCCTGTCAATCATCTCGTCACATTTAAAATCCATTCAATCTAATTTTATTTCCTACCGTTTCGGAGAGCACGTTCATCTGCCAGTTGTGGGTCTTTCATGCTCTCCTCGTGTTTGCAATTTGAATATAATGATGCATTTAAAACGTAATGGCTAAACGTGTCTTAACAAAAGTTCACAATGCTGCTGCAAATGCAATATAATGTGGACAACATTGAATAAATTCATTTTCATTAGGTTAGATACTGATAATTAATCACTCAAAGCTCTTTATCTAAACCTCTCTACACAACCGTCCTCCGTATCGACTACGTGTCTGTAGTTTTTTAACACTTTTTACTCGTGTTTGTAGTTCTAACCGAATCCTCGTCCAACGCGCAATGGTTTGTGGGTAATATCAGCCGTTAGAGTGTGCATCGATCTACACTTCGGATTCTGACTGGAAAAAGTAGACCATCCGGTTATCTTTCAAACACTCATTTCAACATACTACGATTTGGGACGTACTAATTCTATTTTCGAATACTATTTAGGACAGATAGTATGCAAATTGGGACGCAGGGTTAGTCTTTGACTTCAGCTCATGAAAAAGGGCGGCAAAAACAGAAGTGTTGCGTTTATGATGTTGTTCAGTGTATATCGGCCGATGCGATTGGGTGGCCGATATATCGTGTTTATATGCCCCTCTCTAGAGTGATGTTTCTAGATGTAATGTAATTCCTCATGTCAGCGTTTGATTGGCTGCTTTCTCCTCAGGTTGACGTCCGCTAAGATCTACGCTGTGTTTACAGACTTCACACATGACAAGGTGAGTGTCCGCGTCACGCCGTCTGATCTCGCGGTCACTTTAAATTTCCTGATGATTTACTCTCCCCACGTCATCCGAGATGTCCATAACCGCGAGTGCTGGTCTTGCTCTAGCTGTGATGCGACACACATTACGTAATCGGGTTGAAAGGTCATGCGTGACAAACGCCCTTTACAAAAAAATAATGGGTAAAACAACGATTTCTGAAGATTTTAAAGTTTGAGGAGGAAGTGAGATGGAGAAAACAGTTTCCGCCTGATCATCGTTTTTCTCGGTCTAACTCGAGCTGCTGATATGTTGGTAGCTTGTTTGCTTGGTGAGAGTTGTTGCTGAATTCTGAAGTGAACTGATGTTTCCTCAGATATCCAGAGATGAAGCGATTAATAAGATCCGTCTGGAGGCCGAGGAGCAGATCAGAGGTGTGTGACGGACATCAGCGGTTCTGATTGGTGTGTTTGCACTGTGTAACGCTGATGCTGTCTGCTGTGTGTAGAGAAGTTTCCGCAGGCGGAGACGTTCGAGGTGGTGGAGGCCTTTAACAGCGTCTCTCGAGAGATCTTCAGGAATCTGGTTCTTCAGGAATACAGACGGTAACGTCATACTCAAGCTATTAATGTAAGCACTGATGATGGTGAGTCATGTGACCGGTACTCTTGCATCATGTGACAGGTGTGACGGAAGAGATCTCACGTCTCTACGCAACATCTCCTGTGAGGTGGACGTGTTTAAGCCACTCCACGGCTCGGCTCTCTTCCAGAGGGGTCAGACACAGGTCAGCACACGGTACACGCCAGGTCACACGGCAGGTCACACGCCAGGTCACCCGCCACATCACCCGCCACATCACCCGCCAGGTCACCCGCCACGTCACCGGCCAGTCACCCGCCACATCACCCGCCAGGTCACCGGCCAGTCACCCGCCACATCACCCGCCAGGTCACCCGCCACATCACCCGCCAGGTCACCCGCCACGTCACCCGCCAGGTCACCCGCCACATCACCCGCCAGGTCACCCGCCACATCACTCGCCGGGTCACACGCCGGACCACACGCCACGTCACACGCCAGTTCACACGCCGGGTCACACGCCAGACCACATGCCACATCACCCGCCACATCACCCGCCACGCCACCCGCCCCATCACCCGCCACGTCACCGGGTGATGTGGCGTGTCACCCCAGGTCACACGCCAGATCACACGCCAGGTCACTCGCCGGGTCACACGCCGGACCACACGCCACGTCACACGCCAGTTCACACGCCGGGTCACACGCCAGACCACATGCCACATCACCCGCCACGTCACCCGCCAGTTCACCCGCCACATCACCCGCCACATCACCCGCCAGGTCACCCGCCACGTCACCCGCCAGGTCACCCGCCACATCACCCGCCAGGTCACCCGCCACGTCACCCGCCACGTCACCCGCCACGTCACCCGCCACGTCACCGGCCAGTCACCCACCACATCACCCGCCAGGTCACCGGCCAGTCACCCGCCACATCACCCGCCAGGTCACCCGCCACATCACCCGCCAGGTCACCCGCCACGTCACCCGCCAGGTCACCCGCCACGTCACCCGCCACATCACCCGCCACGTCACCCGCCACATCACCCGCCAGGTCACCCGCCACATCACCCGCCAGGTCACCCGCCAGGTCACCCGCCACATCACCCGCCACGTCACCCGCCACATCACCCGCCACGTCACCGTCACCCGCCACATCACCCGCCAGGTCACCCGCCAGGTCACCCGCCATGTCACCCGCCACATCACCCGCCAGGTCACCCGCCACGTCACCCGCCACGTCACCCGCCACATCACCCGCCACATCACCCGCCAGGTCACCCGCCACATCACCCGCCAGGTCACCCGCCACATCACCCGCCACATCACCCGCCACGCCACCCGCCACATCACCCGCCAGGTCACCCGCCACATCACCCGCCAGGTCACCCGCCACATCACCCGCCACATCACCCGCCACGCCACCCGCCACGTCACCGGGTGATGTGGCGTGTCACCCCAGGTCACACGCCAGGTCACTCGCCGGGTCACACGCCGGACCACACGCCACGTCACACGCCAGTTCACACGCCGGGTCACACGCCAGACCACATGCCACATCACCCGCCACGTCACCCGCCAGTTCACCCGCCAGTTCACACGCCAGGTCACACGCCAGGTCACACGCCGGATCACACGCCAGTTCACACGCCAGTTCACACGCCAGTTCACATGTTTGATCACATGTTTGAACACGCTAGAGCACATGTTACAGTTAGTGGATGTGTGTGCAGGTGCTGTGCTCCGTGACCTTTGACTCTCTGGAGTCCAGTCTGAAGACAGACGTGATCACCACAGCGCTCAGGTCAGTGACACATGCAAACATATGATTTAAAGTTGTTCCCCACACACACACACACACACACACACACACACACACGCACACTGTTTATGAACTGTGTATACTAAATGAGGCAAGGGTGTAGAGTCACATTCAAGATATTTTAAGGCATGAAGACATTTTTTCAAGGAAAAAACTTTAAATTATTTCATTTTGGTGATCAAAGATGTTATTGACTAAAGTTATTGACTAAATAAATATATTTATATTTGAAAATAAATCAATTTTGATTAAATAATGGAATAATGCATTTAACAGTATATTACTACGAATGTAAAAAAATATATACTTTATGTTTATATAAAAATATAACTTAATTGAAACTAATTTTAGATTTATAATACAAATATTTCCGTGTATAAACTGTGTGTTTATAAAAGATAATTGGTGTCCTCGCACGAGAGTGATGTGTGTCTGAAAGCCCGTTGTTCACACTGGCCGTCGGGGAAGAGTTAGTGTGTCCCTGTGTTTCGCTGTGTGTGGGTCAGTGTGATGTGTGTGTGTGTGTGTTCTCTTCCAGTGGAGTCAAAGACAAGAACTTCATGCTGCACTATGAGGTGAGCGAGCGTTCAGGCGGCAGGTTTAGCTCATCTGTGAACACCGACTCCTCACTCACTGAGCGCTTTCTTTCAGTTTCCTCCGTACGCCACCAATGAGATCGGGAGGATGGGCGGGACCAACCGGCGCGAGCTCGGCCACGGTGAGTGTGTGTGTGTGTGTGTGTGAAGCTCCGCTGGGTCTCATCGCTGTCTAGGGCTGGGAATCGAACATCGAACAAATTAAATGTTCGATTCCTCCTATCGATTCTTTTGTGATAATTTCTATAGGACTTTAATCCATTCCAGTGTGTGTGTGTGTGTAACTCTACCGGCCAGCTCTTAAAGTCACAGCTCTGATATTCCTGCCGTCTCTGTAATAATAATAATACTTTATTTTACCTTATTGGAATCGATAAGCAGAATCGAAATTGGAATCAATAAAATTCAAATAATACCCAACCGTGTGTGTGTGTGTGTGTGTCATCAGGAGCGCTGGCAGAGAAAGCTTTGAGACCCATCATTCCTGCAGACTTTCCCTTCACCATCCGCGTGACGTCTGAGGTGCTGGAGTCCAACGGTGGGTACACACACACACACACACACACACACACACACACACTCCTCTCAGCCATCTGTATGAGCCTGTCCTGTGTGTGTGTGTGTGTGTGTGTGTCGCAGGATCCTCCTCGATGGCGTCGGTGTGTGGCGGGAGTCTCGCGCTCATGGACGCAGGTATGGTCACATGACAGCAGTGTAATGTCTAACCCTCGCCAGAGCCGTGAAATTATACTTCCACAAAGCTTTTTTTTATTAGAAAAAAATATATAATTTTTTTTGCACATTTTATTTTATTTACCTTTAAATTACTAGATTTGATCAATAAAGAATAAATAAATAAATAGTAGTTTATTAATTTAAGCACATTCTTTCAACTTAAATTCAAAATAACTCACAATTTCATGCATAACTCTTTAATTCAGCTCTATATATCAGCTCTGTGTGTCTCTGGCGACCTCTTGTGGAAATAGAATAATATATCATGACATATCATGACTCTAGATGGGCTTATAGCTCTAGAGGAGTGTTTGGTGTGTGTGCTCAGGTGTGTGTTCGGTGTGTGTGTGTGTGTGTGTTCAGGTGTGCCCGTGTCGTCCGCTGTGGCCGGCGTGGCCATCGGCCTGATCTCCAGAGCCAGCCCGGAGAAGCCGTCGGAGATCCAGGACTACAGGCTCCTGACGGATATTCTGGTAGGTGTTGGTCCGCTTCGGTTCTCGGAGCGTCTCAGAGCTGGTCTTCATCCTGTTGTGTTTATCAATCAAGGGAATAGAAGATTACAACGGAGACATGGACTTCAAGATGGCGGGGAGCAGCAAGGGCATCACGGCTCTGCAGGTGAACGCTTCAGGAACACTGGCTTTAGAAACCCGCCGTATCTGTTTGAGTTAGCAGCTCGTGCAGGACAGAAGCCATTACTGAATAACACCGATAGGAAAACAGTATTACAGAAGCATCTTTACTCCACAAAAAATGCTTAACTCTCTTATTTTTAGGTTACCTTCAATGTTGCCCTCACTTTAAACTTGTGTAGAAGTCAACGGTAAAAATCATATTCCAGTTCCCATGTCCGAGAATGGCGTTACATTTATTAATAATCAATCACAATTATGTTTAGTGGTGGAAAGACTTTTCTAGACTCGAGTGATGTGCTGCTCTTTGACCCCAAAACACTGATGGATAATTACAGATGTTCATAAAATATCGTGATAAGCCTCGTCTTTTCTACCAAGCTTATCAAAACTTTTATTTCTGCAGCACTGAAACTAAAAGCGCACAGATTTTGATAAGTCTTAAAGTGATCTAATTCGAACAGAAGTAATCCGATTCTGTCAAATGTAATCTAAAAGTAATCTGATTCGGTGGAAACTAAAGTAATCTACAATTTATGCGATTCGATCCAAAGTTATCTAAAATGAATCTGATTCAGCATAGTAATCCAACTCAGCCGAATGTAATCTAAAAGTAATCCAGTGAGATCTAAGTAATCCCATTCAGTCGGAAGTAATCCAGTTCAGATGTACGTAATCTAAAAGTGATCTAATTCGGGAAAGTAATTTGGCACAGATGAGAGTAATCCAATTCAGTAATCTTAAAGTAATCCGATTCAAACAGAAGTAATCCAATTCTGCCGAATAATCTAAAGTAATGTGACTCAGTTGAAGGGATATTACTTAAAATCGGGCTGCACATGAACGAGTAGATTATCAAACTCGATGGAGTAGGTTAAGATTTCCTAACTTCAGATATGATGCGATCAGACAGGAATCCTAAATCAAGTAAAGATATGCTTCTGTAATATGAATTTGTGTGAAATCTGAAATGCACTTGTTCGATCTAAAGACTGTTCCAGTAAAACGCCTCCGTCATGTGATCGGCCTTCTGTGTTTCCCGCAGGCGGATGTTAAAATCCCAGGACTTCCTCTGAAGATCGTGATGGAGGCCATACAGCAGGCCACAGGTACGCCTCCTCCACGAGCATCATGGGACGCACACAGCGAGTGTCTGACGTGCCGCTCTCTGCTTTCTCTTCCAGTGGCCAAAAGAGAGATTCTCGCCATCATGAACAAGAGCATCGCCAAACCCCGCAGCTCCCGGAAGGAGAACGGGCCGGTCGTGGGTATGATCAGTGATGCGTTCCTCGTGTTCGTGTTCCTGCTGTTTCTCTGACGCTGTGTGAACTCTTTCCTCAGAGAACGTCAGCGTGCCTTTATCCAGACGAGCTCGCTTCGTCGGTCCAGGAGGGTTTAATCTGCGCAGACTGCAGGCTCAGACAGGTGATCATCAGATTCAGGACCTTTCAAACCCTCAATCTGATCTACATCATTGCATCATCAGATTCAAGACAAGACTCTTCATAATCGCGGTTCTCCTCAGTATCAGAATGTGGTTCTCCTCAGTATCAGGGTTCTCAGTATCAGGGTTCTCCTCAGTATCGCGGTTCTCCTCAGTATCAGGCTGTGGTCCTCCTCAGTATCTCGGTTCTCCTCTGTATCTCGGTTCTCCTCTGTATCTCGGTTCTCCTCTGTATCGCGGTTCTCCTCAGCATCAGACTGTGGTTCTCCTCAGTATCGCAATTCTCCTCAGTATCGTGGTTCTCAGTATCGTAGTTCTCCTCAGTATTGTGGTTCTCCTCCGTATTGTGGTTCTCCTCAGTATCGCGGTCGTCCTCAGTATCGTGGTTCTCCTCAGTATCGCGGTTCTCCTCAGTATAGTAGTTCTCCTCAGTATTGCGGTCGTCCTCAGTATCGTGGTTCTCCTCAGTATCGTGGTTCTCCTCAGTATCGCGGTTCTCCTCAGTATAGTAGTTCTCCTCAGTATCGTGGTTCTCAGTATCATAGTTCTCCTCAGTATTGTGGTTCTCTTCAGTATTGTGGTTCTCCTCAGTATCGCGGTTCTCCTCAGTATCGCGGTTCTCCACAGTATCGTGGTTCTCCTCAGTATCGCGGTTCTCCACAGTATCGTGGTTCTCCTCAGTATAGTAGTTCTCCTCAGTATTGTGGTTCTCCTCAGTATCGTGGTTCTTAGTATCGTAGTTCTCCTCAGTATTGTGGTTCTCCTCTGTATTGTGGTTCTCCTCAGTATCGCGGTTCTCCACAGTATCGTGGTTCTCCTCAGTATCGCGGTCGTCCTCAGTATCGTGGTTCTCCTCAGTATCGCGGTTCTCCTCAGTATAGTAGTTCTCCTCAGTATCGTGGTTCTCAGTATCGTAGTTCTCCTCAGTATTGTGGTTCTCCTCAGTATCGCAGTTCTCCTCAGTATCGTGGTTCTCTGTATCATAGTTCTCCTCAGTATCGCGGTTCTCCTCAGTTTCGCGGTTCTCGGTATCATAGTTCTCCTCAGTATTGCAGTTCTCCTCAGTACCGCGGTTCTCCTCAGCATCAGACTGTGGTTCTCCTTGGTATCAGGGTTCTCCTCAGTATCAGGGTTCTCCTCAGTATCACGGTTCTCCTCAGTTCTCCTTCTCCTGAGCATCATCCTGTGGTGTCAGTGGTCTGTGCCTCCGCTGACGCAGCTCTGCTTTTCTCCCTCAGGTGTGACGATCAGTCAGGTGGACGAGGACTCGTTCTGTGTGTTCGCTCCCACTCCCAGCGCCATGAACGAAGCCCAGGAGTTCATCCGGGAGATCTGTAAAGATGATGTGCGTGCAGCAGCGGTGGCTCTTCTGTGGTGTGTGCTGTGCGAGACTGACGCCCTGTGTGTGTGTGTGTGTGTGTGTAGCAGGAGCAGCAGCTGGAGTTCGGAGCCGTTTACACCGCTACCATCACAGAGATCAGGTAGAGCTCTCACACACACACACACACACACACACACACAGCTTGGTCTCTGGGCTGAAGCTGACTGTGTGTTTCAGGGACATCGGTGTGATGGTGAAGCTGTACCCCAACATGAGCGCCGTCCTCCTGCACAACTCTCAGCTGGACCACAAACGGGTCAGAACACTCACACCAGTTCCACCATTACATTAACAGTATTACATTAACATTATATTTATATATATATATATATATATATATATATATATATATATATATATATATGAACTGAAGCTTTAAAACTCTACAGGAAAACTGTCATGTGTGTTTCAGAAGCTGCTCTCGAGTTATTAATGTAGAGTTACACACACTGAACGTGTGATTGAGGATAGTGTTGTTGTTCTCCAGCTGTGTCATTGATTTCAGGAAGTTATTCTGAATCTTCTGATGTTCACTGATGTTTGTTTGCTGCTGTAACTAGTACTAAAGAGGAAGATCTTCTGAGCAGTTCTTCTGTCTCACACACACACACACACACACACACTGAGTTTAGTGATGAAACTGACGGGATTTGAGAGCTGAGACTGGTTCATATCAAAGATTACTGGGATTATGGGATGGCCAGGGCTGCAGATGATGTGTAGTGAAGTTTCAGGTCAGACAGATATTTGAGAATCGGTGTACATGTATATGATCAAGCGGCCCTGTCACACACACACACACACACACACACACACGCTGTTCTTCCTCATCTGTGTGTTTTCTGCAGATCAAGCATCCCAGCGCTCTCGGACTGGAGGTCGGCCAGCAGATCCAGGTGAGAACGGCTCAATCCTTCACACACTCGTGTCCGAGACTCTTTATGAACGTGTGTGTGTGTGTGTGTCCTCCAGGTGAAGTATTTCGGCCGGGACCCGACGGACGGCCGGATGAGGCTCTCTCGGAAGGTCCTGCAGTCTCCGGTGTCGGCGACGGTGAAGAGTCTGAGCGAGAGACACAGCATCTCTATTGGCGAGCCCGTCACGGACCCCTAGACATCATCGCCTCTATTGATGAACACTCTTATTAACCTCTTCAGCTTCTGCGCCGCAAAACCCTCTAACCTGGAAGTGTTGAAATCTTTCAGATGAGAAACAGTCCATATTTTGTAGAAATAAACGAGTCCAACACACACGATGTGTCCTCACGCATCCCTATGGTACTGTCTGTAAATGTGGCGTACTGTACGTACTCATGCAGTTTGTCCAGTAGAGCAACTGGCCTCATTTATCAGCGCACACCTTCCTCTCGTCCAATCAGATCATCCAACCAGGAGCGCATCATCATCTACCAATCAGATCCTGCTAGTCTATACACCATCGTTAAATACTGATTTGTCTATGAAGAAACTTGATGATAATTTGATCACACACAGCCAACAGCGTTCCCCACTTCTTCAGTCGAGCCGTTTTAATGATGCACATGAGCAATCTGGAGCATTAACCTAAACATTAAATTCAATTATTATGATTCCCTTTGTAGAATATAGGTGGGTTATTTTTAAATGTGTGACGGGTTTTTGCTGCATATATCTTTAACAGTGCAACGCCCAGCAGACGAGCGATACGAGTCGGTTAAAACACTCGATCACACACATGTGAGTCAGACTTAATAGTTTTTGATTGTAAAAGTTACGGACAGCTTTCTAAATAAATGCAAAGAATCTTTTTGATTGATTAGATTACTGTTGCATCACTGATGGTCATTTGGGCTCTGGTATTATACATGTGCATGATATTATGTCCTTATATCACCACGATGTGCTTTAAAAGGCTAAATCAGCCGGTGTGCCATGTCTTACATGTATTAATATATACAGTATATATATATATATATATATATATATATATACACACATATGTAGTTATAATCAAAATTATTCAACCTCCAATGCAAATCTGATTTATTTGCCAGATGTACAAAATGTTTGCAGCAGCGTCTGCTGTTGAACTGCTGGAGCGAGATGTGCAGCTTCTGTTCCTGAGGGATCTGAGATATCCGTTCCAGCTCTGGGATATTATATTTATATTTATTGCCTTCGCTATCTTTTAATATCCTGTTCCTTGTTTGTGAAGGACAATGTAATCTTCTCTTAACTTTTTGGATTTTGGACCATTCTTTTGATTAGCCATATTTCAAACATCCAGTCAAAAAGCCTCGCCAGTTCAGATATTCCATGTGTTCTAGCTCAAGCACACCTGGTGCAACTAATGAAGCCCTTGATTAGTGAGACAACACCAAGGGGGTAATCCATCATGTAGCAAAACTTGCTGTTAGCATTCCATTGACTCCCATTCGTTCTGGCGTCACTTTGAAAGGGAATAACTTTACATCTGAGGCGTCCAAAGACTTAATTTGTCCATTATTTATTTCTAAAGAAACACAACAAGGCTCCATTACCTTGTATCTTGTGTTATTGCCCCGTAGAAGCAGTTTTTGTAAAAATATGTTAACGATTGTGTCATAACGAATTGACTCTCCGTCGCACAGTACAGAAATGACGGTACAGACAGGAGGAGAAACTCAAGGCATCGGGGGACGTGGAGCATAAAGTCGAGGGAGAAGCCCATAGAGAGACATATAGTTGATGCTGCTGCTCACGGACAGATCATACTCACTCTCTCCGTCTCTGAGAGATTCGGAAGGGAATTATTCAGATTTCACTCGCCACAGCTGCTAGAAGACACACTGGTTGCTCACGTGACCGACTCAGTTTGAGCTTGCGCTGTAGTCTATTGGCGATCAGCTTACGGGGTTCAATTTTCTCAGTTGAAATCAATGGGGTCGCTGTGTCCATTTCTTTTTCTGTCTGTGGGAGTAGTATGAAGCTGCAGACTCGGAGACCTGCATCTACAGTCCCCCTGCACCCAGAGTCCCGCATTCTCAGACCCCTCGTTTTTCGAGACAGCGCCTCCTATCAAATTGTATCAGATAAACATGTGAAGAACATGTGAAGAACTTAAGCCAAAACGTGAGTAGCCTAGCTATCTTCAATTTTATTTAGCGAATCGTTGTAGCCTACTCGTTTGATCATTTTTTTAATAAAACGAATTTAGCTCATCGATACAACATATGAATAGTGCATTGAATATTTGTAAAGTTAGTCTGTAACAAGATTTGAGACGTTAATGTATGTTTTTTCGCCCTCTTCCCCCCGAAAATATTTAGATAGCTAACGTTTATAATTTATTTAGCTTTAAACATATATAAGACATGTGCTATAGGCCTATCGGTCCTATGTAGAGTCGCCCCTGCCGAACCCAGCAACATCATGACATTTTATGATTATGCAAAGCGACTTATAAATTCGTTTTTTTAATGCAATTGAAGACGAAAAGTAAAGTCACGAACACAGTTTTTTTCTTCCTTTTTTCTTTACAGCAAGATGATGTTTAGGTGATCATTAAATAAAGTACAGAATTGTTTATTATTATTGGTGTTTTGTCTATTCTGATTTGTTTTGCTTCGCATTCAAAATATCAAAAAACAGATTTTGTAATGTTAGCATCGTAATGTTAATTAGACCAAGGTTGAACTGAAAGAAAAATTGGAATTTGAATAAAAATAAAATAAAATAAAAACATTGTAGCAATATAATATCACATGCTATTTTTCTGAAGATAGTTCAATCTGTAATTGTATCCCTTCCATCAGTAACAATTAGTTTTGTTTTGTTTTTTTGCCCATGCATTAAGCAGGGAATGCAAATATTTATTGGATAATTTATTTGGAGACCGTAATATTGCATCCTATTGTTTTTAATTGCATTTGGATAATCGTGCACTGTACTCTGTGTGCGGGTGTTATTCGATCTTTTGAACAGCAGGAGGCGCTGTGTTCGAAAAACGAGGGGTCTGAGAATGCGGGACTCTCGGTGGGGGACTGTAGATGCAGGCTCCGAGTCTGCAGCTTCATAATATTGGTCTGTGGACAACACCTGTCTTGTGTGTGTGTGCAGGGGGTCGAATCATTTTGAGACTGCAGAAGTTATTAAAAGTTGCATTTTCAGTTGAAATTACGGAAACCACCTGAAACATTTGTTGTGTTGAGCTATTTCAATTGCTTTTGCTTGATTTGCTCATTGCTAAAAGTCCAATGTTACAAAAATACCCCTATAAAGGGGAAGGCTATTCTGATTCAAGATTACCAGGAACATGAATTTAAAACAATGATGATTTGCACTGATAAATCATTTACAAAAAAACACCATAAAAATATGAATTGTCCATATTGTGTCTAAGCAGGATGGATTCTGATTGGACAATTATTTATCGTTCATCAGCAGGACAAAAGTTATACAGAGTTGTTGGTGACATAGAAGTAAAAAACAATTAAAAATGTACTAATACTTTATAATAATTTATAATAAATACTTTAACTTTATCTCAAAATAATTCTGACGTTTTACTTTCAATTTTGAGAACAAAAATTGAGAGATGTAAAATCAAAATTCAAGGGGGGAAATTTTAAGAAAGAAAGTGAGAATTATGAGATACAAGATCAAAAGAGGATCAGAACTGCGAAATATAAACGCATAATTCTAGGAATTACACTTGGGAATCGAGCAGTGTTCGCTGAGTGACTGTGGTAACCATGGTGACTGCTGCACGTGTCCTGCCGCGGCTTCCGTAGCCCGTGTGCGGAAACCCCGCGCCATCATCAGACGAGCGACGATGAAGTGAAAGACACACAAGATGGCGGCGATCGGTGGATAGACGGACATTCACGTAAACATTTAAACGACCCGACCCAATTAGCCCTCATTCAGAGCCGTAACCGAGAGCCAAAGAAAGTTTAACGATACAGTAGACCGTTCACGCGAGAGTCTGACGATCACGAAGCTGAATCTCCGAGATTTGGCTCATTCTACAGGTAAACTGATTTCGTAGGCTTAAAATGATCGATTGGAGATCGAAAGCGAGTGTTGAGAGCTAAATAAACCGTTGAGTGAGTCTCGTCGGGTGGTTTCCAGGGGGCAGCGTGGTTTAGTGAGGTAAACCGGGGGTTCAGTGAGGTAAATTGGTGGTTTAGTGCGGTAGGATGTGTAGTTCCCGGCTGTGTGGATGCGAGGGCAGACAGTGCTAGTTTAGTGAGGGGAATATGCGCCAGGACTGCTAGTGTCGGAGAGGTTTGAGCTAGTGAAGATGAGCGACACCCGGAGGCGAGTGAAGCTGTACACGCTGAACGAGGACCGGCAGTGGGAGGACCGGGGCACGGGGCATGTGTGCTGCTCCGACGAGGAGACCTCGCTCACGGTCACCGCAGAGTCCGACGGTACGAGCCTCTTCACCACCACCACCACCATCATCATCGTCACGTGACCCCGAGCTGATCTGTGTGTGTGTGTGTGTGTGTGTGTGCAGGGTCACTGCTGCTGGAGTCCAAGATCATCACCAGCACTGCGTATCAGAAACAGCAGGTAAGATACACAATCCTCATGCTTTCAGAAGCTCCTCACTAACTAAAGCTGCTCGCTTCCATATCAGGGTGAAAGGTTAAATAGATATTTCTCTTAACCCTCCCTGTGACCTTTGACCCCTCAGGACACGCTCATCGTGTGGTCCGAAGCGGAGAACTATGACCTGGCTCTGAGTTTCCAAGAGAAAGCCGGCTGTGACGAAATCTGGGAGAAGATCTGTCAGGTTTGTTCATTAACATGGATCCTGCGCTGAATCTGAGCAGTGTTGACGTGTGTGTGTGTGTGTGTGTGTGCTGGATACAGTCAGGTGACCCACACAACACAACACACAGCAGCTTTACAGAGACAGCAGATAGACGATAGTGCTGCAAAGTTTGTTTCCAGAAGAAAATAGCGTCACAGTCCAGCTGAAGTAAACTCAGTGATGCTTCATTTTCGTTGTAAAAAAGTTTTTAATTTGCTTTTAAAAAAGTGATCAGGCTGATGTGTGTGTGATATCAGTGTAGGGTTGCTGCGGTCCTCCACTAGATCAGCTGTGTGTGCCTGAACTGCGTCTATTCCTTAGCTCTTCTGTGTTCGGCTACAGATGAACGCAGATCACACACACACCTCTCCTTCCTTACGACAACCTCACGTTTAAAGTGTTTACATGTTTTATTGAACGGACTAGAAAAGGTTTAAATCTGAATCCGAATGAAACTAAAATGGGGTTTATCCAATTCACTCCGCTTGTCATGTGACTCATCTTCCTCATCGAAATGTAAACACTTTATTTATTTATTATCTGTGAAATAGAGCAGTAATTTTTGCATGACTCAAAACATCAGCATTAACTGTAGACAGCGCATGTGTAATGCAACGCTTTCAACTCTTTTTGGTACATAAGAGATTGCATGTTGTTTTGAGGACGTGAGCGGTCGGCCCATAGGCTGTTCTCTGCTGACGGATGGAATTACCTTTTAGGCCAATAATAATAATGATCGAAACTTTTCAGGAAACTGATGAAATCATGAATTGAAACAGAAAAAGCACATTTTCTACTTCGTTCTTAATACACTGCATGTTTAGCTGACTATTGCTCATTTCGCTGATCTGAACTTACAGAGATTTCATTTTCGTCCGCAGTTCTGACTCCGAGCTCTCGTGGGGCCGGGGCTAGTAGGAGTGCGTTCTCATTGGCTACTGAGTTTTTGATTGACAGCGCCTTCATGGGTCTTCTTACGCTTGTGTGTGTGTGTGCGCAGGTGCAGGGCAAGGACCCGTCGGTGGAGATCACGCAGGACCCGATGGACGAGTCGGAGGAGGAGCGTCTGGAGGAGCTGGAGGCGGCGCACGTGCTGGACCTGCCGGCCTGCGAGCCGGAGCACCTGGAGGAGATCGCGGAGCTGGTGACGTCAGTGCTGTCCTCGCCCGTGCGCCGCGAGAAGCTAGCGCTAGCTCTGCTGAGCTCCGGGTTCATCCGCAAGCTGCTGCTGCTGTTCCGCTCCTGCGAGGACGCTCACCACCGACAGGTCACGCTCACACACACACACACACACACACTGTGGACTACACGCTATTTCTCTAAGTCAAGTCGCTGTAACGGTGTAGGACTGTTTTTATAAGCATGACTGTGTGTAAACTAGGGATGGGAATCGATAAGATTTGATCAATATCAGCGCCACTGATGATCCTGCTGATCGATTCCTCAGCACTGTGGGGGAAAACGTTTTTCAGCTTTTTCAGAAAAAAATAAGTTGTTTTTTATTTTTAAGCTTAAACTTGAGTAAGTAAACTGTACTCTTTATGTAAATTATGTAATAAATGGACCCTTATTGTAAAGGGTTACCGCGTGTTAAAGTGATTTGTTATACACCGAATCGGACGTCCCGTGAGTTCAGTGTCGGACAGATGAGTTGTTTTAAAGTGAATCGGTTCAAATGAGTCATTAGTTCATGAATTGGCCGTGTCATCATCGGACGTGTGGCGTTGTGTGATTATCCCAGCGTTAGGACATCCCACAAGATTTGACATCACAGAAAACATTTCATCACTGGACAGTTTTTATTTTGTGTGTTTAAAGGGATAGTTGAGCTCAAACTGTAAACTCTGTCAGTAACGACTCGCCCTCGTGTTGTCCATCCATCATCTTCAGGACTCATGAGGATATGTGTGATTAAATCTGAGAGCTGTGTCACTCCTGCATAGGCTTCTGTTGTAATTGAAACTGGTCCAGAAAGTTATTAAAGACATCGTCACAATAGTCCGAGTGTTTACAGCGGCTCAACCTTGAGATGATCACGGACGAGAATACTCTCTGTGCTCAAACAAAAATAACGTCTTTATTCAACTGTGTTCGCTAGTGTAACAGCGCAAGCTTCTGTACGTCACGCAGCTGAGTAACGTGTGTGTGTGTGTGTGTGTGTGTCTTAGGCGCTGCACCACCTGTACGAGATCGTGCGCGGCGTGCTGTTCCTCAACAAGGCGTCCCTGTTCGAGGTGCTGTTCTCGGACGACTGCATCATGGACGTGGTGGGCTGTCTGGAGTACGAGCCGGCGCTGGCCCAGCCCCGCAGGCACCGCGAGTTCCTCACACACACCGCCCGCTTCAGGGAGGTCATCCCCATCACCGACTCCGAGCTGCGGCAGAAGATCCACCAGACCTACCGCGTGCAGTACATCCAGGACATCATCCTGCCCACGCCCTCCGTGTTCGAGGAGAACTTCCTGTCCACGCTGTCCTCCTTCATCTTCTTCAACAAGGTGGAGATCGTCAGCATGCTGCAGGTGCGCTCACACACACACACACACACACACACACCACACAGACACCTCACACACACCTGCGCTCACACACACACACCTCACACACACCTGCGCTCACACACACACACACACACACACACCACACAGACACCTCACACACACCTGCGCTCACACACACACACCTCACACACACCTGCGCTCACACACTCTCACCTGCGCTGACCCTCTGACACACCTGTGCTCGGGGCGCTTTAATCAGTTTCTGTGTGTGTGTGTGTGTGTGTTTCAGGAGGATGAGAAGTTTCTGACGGAGGTGTTCGCTCAGCTGACGGATGAAGCCACAGAGGACGATAAGAGGAGAGAGCTGGTACTACACACTCTCACACACTCTCTCACACACACACACACACACACACACACTCACTCGTGTTCCTCTGACCCCGCAGGTGAACTTCTTCAAGGAGTTCTGTGCGTTCTCACAGACGCTGCAGCCGCAGAACAGAGACGCCTTCTTCAAAACGCTGGCCAACCTCGGCATCTTACCCGCGCTGGAGATCGTGCTGGTGAGGAACACACACTCTTGGTGCTTTTCCACTGCATAGTACGGTACGGTTCGGCTCAGTACGCTTCGACTCGGCGCGGAACAGTTCGGATCGCTTTTCGTTTCCACTGCAGTAGTACCCCTTCAAAGTGTGTGGGACTGATCGTTATTTGCGCGCGGCTCTACTGCCATGACATCATCTTAAAAGCGCCACATTTTCAAACCCACAACACAGGAACAATGGAGACTATCGAGGGGATGGTGTTCCTGATTCTCGGTATGTGCTTGTTTTTAACTGCTAGATGGAAAAATGTGTTTAAAATGAGGCTGATGGCAGCAAAACAAAATACTGCTAAAAAAGTGTCTCGTGTCGCAAATCCAATGACGCTAGTAGTGACGCTGGTAGTGACGATTCTGTCTGACCAATCAGTGATCTGCAGTGTTTCACGTCACATTTTAGTACCGGTACGGTACGCTTGGAACCTCAGCAGACCAGGTACCATTTAAAGTGACCTGAAGCGAACCGAACCGTACCGTAGTATGCAGTGGAAAAGCACCTTCTGAGCTCAGAGACGGCACACCAATAGGAAAGTGTGTCCAAACGTTTGACTGGTACTGTACTGTAATACACACAAATAATGTTGATACTGTATTAGGGGTGTAACAGTTCACAAAATTGACACTTCGGTTCGGTACGATACACTTGTGTCACGGTTCGGTACGGTTCTGATACAGCAAAAAGAAAGAAATGCCAGAGAAATTGATTTAATTTTTTTAATTATATTTTTATTAAAACTAACGTCATAAAGTATGATATTGTTTAACTTTGAGCAATGATGAAGCTATTACTGTTGTGGTCACGCCAGCGTCTCTTACATTATGAGCGCTTGCCTATATTTGAACTAACGAAACTTTGGTCGGCAGGAAAAATGGTCTAATGAACCGTTCGGTTCAAAAATGCGTACCGAAAACCGAAGCGAAAGCCTCGTACCGAACAGTTCGATACGAATACGTGTATCGTTACACCCCTATACTGTATTATAATATATATTATCGGCTGATATATCGGTATCTGGCTTTTTGTTTAATCTGTATCGGCATCCAAAAATCCATATGGGTCGGGCTCTATCATACATGTGTGTGTGTGTGTCGTCTGAGCTCATACACGTGTGTGTGTTACAGGGCATGGATGACGTGCAGGTGAAGGCCGCCGCTACAGACATCTTCTCCTACCTGGTGGAGTTCAGCCCGTCGATGGTGCGAGAGTTCGTCATGCAGGAGCCACAGCAGGCCGACGACGTGAGTACACACACACACACACACACATACACACACACTCAAAGCAATTTTTATAGCAGTCCGTGACGGACTGACACACACACCGCGATCTGAAGAGCCTCAGAAACACATGATTATTGTTGATATTGCTGAGTGTGTTTGAGATGCGATACAAATACGATTCAGAAAAGATTTCAGGATCCACATGTGGAGGTTGTTGTGATGAGCGGTGTGAGCCTGCTGACGGCTGTGTGTGTGTGTGTGTGTGCAGGACGTGCTGCTGATTAACGTGGTCATCAAGCAGATGATCTGTGACTCGGACCCTGAGCTGGGCGGAGCCGTGCAGCTGATGGGGCTCCTGAGGACCCTCATCGACCCCGAGAACATGCTCGCCCCCGCCAGCGTGAGTAACACACACACACACACACCCCGAGAACATGCTCGCCCCCGCCAGCGTGAGTAACACACACACACACACACCCCGAGAACATGCTCGCCCCCGCCAGCGTGAGTAACACACACACACACACACCCCGAGAACATGCTCGCCCCCGCCAGCGTGAGTAACACACACACACACACACACACACACACCCCGAGAACGTGCTCGCCCCCGCCAGCGTGAGTAACACACACACACACACACACACACACACACACCCCGAGAACATGCTCGCCCCCGCCAGCGTGAGTAACACACACACACACACCCCGAGAACATGCTCGCCCCCGCCAGCGTGAGTAACACACACACACACACAGTCTGATCCGGGGATAGCTGGAGTCTGATTGGCTGGGAGACAGTCTGATGATGGTTATTTGCTGGTTTATAACGTTCATCAAAGATATGTTGCATGAAAAGTCACAAAGAAACCAAACGAAGGTGACTCCATTTCTACTGTTCACAATAATCATTTAATCGCTAAAATAGGGCTGGGCGATATATCGCACAAAAAAAAGTCTCGATAAGTCGATCCCCGAACGCCGCTCATACAGTTCATAAGTTCGTTGAACTTCATAGAGTTCAGATCACTCAGCACGACGTTCGTGGTTTGACTTATCGAGATTATTTTTTAAGATGTCTCCTGTCTGTATACTCGAAGTGAACTGTCTTCATAAAGGATCTTCTTATTAAACGGTCTGTACACTTACACAGTTCTCAATGCATCGTTTTGCATGTATGGAGCCTCATTATGTGCGTTAGTGTGGGGCTATTTTGAGCCTTGTTAGTGGTATAAACTAGCGGTTTCTATTTACTTACCCAATGCCCCCATTACTAGCATTATACGCTAAACAGTTTTTAGAGATAAAACTCTTTACAATCGATTATCATGAAAACAAAACTCAGAGAACGATTGACAAGGTACCGATGTTTTATTAGACCAAAGGTTCATTGTTCGCCGGAGTTCTCCTTTAATGAGTTGTGATTGGTGGCAACAAGGATTATTAATGTTACATCAGTTGAGATAGACAGGCGGATTATTGATCTCTGTGTTTCTAAATAAAGATAATGATTTGATCAGAATATTTTTTATTAAATATTTTAGGTTATAAGAAAAATACAGATATGCAGCAGAACCACAAAACTGTTGCTAACAAGTTGCAGCAAATCATCTGAATACATTTCATTTTTCAGATCACGACATGATTATGTCAAAACATAACCAACACTATCAGATCACAGATGTCTTATTTGACTGCCATAAATCAATAACAGCAGACGCACAAAATTTAAAGTGAAAATATAAGTGTCAAGAGCCCAACTAAAGCAAACACTGATCTCCATAACGGTGGCTTACAATTTTAGATTTTCTCCTTCAGTGATTCTGCTTGTGATCATCAGGTGTCTTCAATAATGCTCAATCATCACTAAATTAATCACTTAATCATCTCATTAACTTTAACACTCATATCGTCCATCTGAAGGAGATTTACTGCTAATCAAGGAACCGGTTTTACTGATTAGATGCGCATGACAATATCGTGCGATATATCGCCCAGACCTACGCTAATGTGTGTGTGTGTGTGTGTGCAGAAAGCGGAGAAGAGTGAGTTCCTGAGCTTCTTCTACAAGTACTGCATGCATGTGCTGACGGCTCCTCTGCTGGCCAACACCGCTGAAGAGGACCACGGTGAGACACTGACCTCTGACCTGCAGCAGCTGAGCCGCGCCCCTCCTCTCACTGACACGTGTGTGTGTGTGTGTGTCTCCACAGATCTGACCGAGGGATCAGCGAAAGTCAACCCCGTGTGTCCAGGTACACATCACGCCACACACCACTTTCATACCACACACGCCACTCACTCGCCAGGCTCACGACACTCCACACACACACACACACATCACGTCATGCCTCAGTCACACACGTGTCACGCCACACAGGCACGTCACATGCGTCAAGCCCAACGTTCTGCCACACGCATTACACATCACTCACGTCCCTCCACACGCGTGTGCTGTACTGAGTGTGTGTGTGTGTGTCAGATAACTTCCAGACGGCGCAGCTGCTGGCTCTGATCCTGGAGCTGCTGACCTTCTGCGTGGAGCACCACACGTACCACATCAAGAACTACATCATGACCAAAGACCTGCTGCGGAGAGTGCTGACGCTCATGAACTCCAAACACACCTTCCTGGCGCTGTGTGAGTATCGCTCGCATCATCATGCTGGTCATCGCTCGTGCCCGAAACGCAGCAGCCGCTCTACACGAGTGTGTGAGGAGGACCTGACCTGCTCTAGTCCTCATGTGTTTCAGGCTCTCCTAGAACTTGTTGATTATTCTCCTCATATTCTCCATTGCTGCGGCTCCTCTCTTCCCAGTCTGTCAGTAACGCTCTGTTCACTTCCTGTCTCTATGAAGCCCCTCCTCCTGAAAAGCACACTGTGCTCTGATTGGTCGGCTGGAGCAGTGTGTTGTGATTGGTCGAGCTCTTTTGATTGTGTTTGGGAAATGCCCCGCCCCTTTCCATAACTGCCAGTTTAACACAATACTGACTAAGTCAACCAGGCCCCGCCCCTTTATTCTGCGCATGAGTTATTATAATGAGGAATATTGAGACGTGTTCCCGGGAGAAACTGGAGATACAGTGGAGGTGTTTCAGGAGTTCAGAAACACTGAGAACTGGAGCATCTCATGATCACACACTGAACACTGCACCAGTTCTGCATATCTCCATGTCCATCTGTTTAATATTCAGTCCAGTGCAGCTACAGTGCTCATATCTCACACACACACACACACACACACACTCATGTAGGTTATTTTTTGTTATTGCTCATTATGTATATGTTAGCCTATATTTATATTTTCTTCATCTCTCAGTGTGAGAAGAATATTAGCAGATGTTTGTTCAATGAAATGCAGATGGGATCAGTAACTGCAGTGAGGCTGACTGAGTGTGTGTGTGTGTGTGTGGAGCAGGTGCCCTGCGCTTCCTGAGGCGGATCATCGGCCTGAAGGACGAGTACTACAACCGCTACATCATGAAGGGGAACCTGTTTGAGCCGGTCATCAACGCCCTGCTGGACAACGGCAGCCGCTATAACCTGCTGAACTCGGCCGTCGTGGAGCTCTTCGAGTTCATCAGAGTCGTGAGTAGGGGATGCTAACACTCGTCCGTCACCGACGGCTGACACTAGCGTAGCGTTGGGTATCGTTTGAGTTTTAAAGTTCTGCTCATCGATTCCTAATTTCAATTCCAGTTTGGCAAAAATTAACCTCAGATATCGTTCACGTTTAGTGTTATTGCTAAACCTGCATCATGAGCTGAAGAACACTTGCAGGAGTGTCATAAATTATTAGTCGCACAACTGAACAAAGATAGATTGGAACAAACAGTGTTTTAAGATTTTCAGGTTCAGAAACTGTAATCAAATGTAAAATAACACTGCACTTTTAAAATATGATTTAATACTATATTATAAATATAGTCACAGAGGTGGTTCAGTCAGGAGCGAGTGAGTGTTTTGATTAGTGTCATAGAGGCGAGAGCCTGCTGTAAGACACAGTGTTAGCGCCCTATCACATCACAGCAATCGCAGTCGACACGCGGAACTGAAATCTGAGTTTTCTTATCGATTCTCCGGTTCGGGACACCCGCCGCTAGTAGAGGTCGGCGTCTGACCGCTGTGTGTGTTTGATCCGCAGGAGGACATCCGGTCCCTCATCGCACACATCGTGGACCACTTCTACCCGGCGCTGGAGTCCATCGAGTACGTGCAGACCTTCAAGGCCTGAAGGGCCGATTACGAGCAGGAGAAGGAGCGGCAGAGCC